CTGTCGCGAAGCTTCGTCCGGCTGGGGTTTCCGATTTTGTCAGTGGACTTCGTGGCGACCGGCAGCTCGATGCCGCTGCGGCAGCCTTCTCGAACTGGCTTTGTCGTGCCAGCTTCCGGTACAGCCAGGCTTGGCTCCAGTGTCTTGCTCTTTGATGCTGCCAGGGTTGGTTTGCCGACATCTGTGAGATCGACCACTTGAGCTGGATCTTCCTTTCCGACATTTGGACTTGCAAGGTCAGAACCCTTGGTATTGATTTTCGATGCGATCGGATCTGGCCCAACAGTGCCAATGAGAAGCTGTGCCCGGCTGGGGCCAGCAGTATCAATTTTTTCGGTGATGCGGCCAGATCCAGCCCCGTCCGTGGTGGATCTGACACAAATGGGCTTTGCAACGCCGGCACGAAGCAGGTTCTGGCCTGGCTCCATGTTGTCCACTTTCTCAAGCGTTCGATTTGGACCGGCTTTGCCAGCGTTGGATTCTGTTAACCTCGGAAGCACTTCATCGGCGGGAACAATCAGGACAGGGAATTGCTTTACCTGCACGATTGCAGCTTCTGTCATGACCCAGCACCCAGGCTTTCCGGGCAATGGGTTAGAGGGCATGACATCGCGAGGAGCTCCCTCATCTCGGACGGCTCCGACTCCACGTACCTGAAGATCAGCTCGCAGCCTGCCCGCATAGACAAGGCATCTCCAACCGCATCGGGACATTTTCCAACGGCTCGAGCTTATTGTCAGCAAGGTCTCAGCTGGACGTCTATGCTGGCACCCAGCGTGGCATTACAGTGACCGCAAATGGTGGCACACTGCATGGTTCGGAGCTCAGCTGAAGCCTGCAGTTTGGCAAAGTAAGCTGTTCCAACTGTGGTGTATGTCCAGACCGCTCCACTCGTATCCGCAGCAGACCTGTGTGGCCTGATGTGTCACAGCTTGGCCACCTAGGTGCATGGTCGGCAGAAGCCAGTATCACAACGTCCGCCTGACTCTGAGCAGCCGTTGCTGTCCAACCCCGTCTCAGTAGATGGCACGATCCGCTGGCATGCCGCGAAGCCCTGCTCAGGACAGGCGCCTCAAGCGCAACATTCAGCCGCTGTACCAAACCATCGCAACCAGAGCGCGCGATCGCAGTAGCCCCAGCTTTCTTTCTCATGTGTAGCTGCTTCATGCTAGGGAGGGCCTTCGACAACGAGATTCGCTGGCTGAGGATGGGAATCCGATTCGGGAGCGCAGCCAGCAGCTGACAAGTACATTACCCAGCAGTGGATCCGCTCGCGAGCTGCGGCGACACCGCATCCGTGCAAGCATTCTGACTCTTGAGGCTAAGCGAAGGTGAGCAGGTGAAGTGGCTGCTGCGTCCGAGCCTTAGACGTCGGTCAGAGTGTTGGCCCAGTAGTTTCAAAAGCCTGGGCGGAAGTTATCCAGAAGGGACGAATCACAAGCGGAAGGCAGTACAGATTTTGTGGGGTCGCAGATGTCGCGCTAGGACACGAACTGTTGAGGCGAGCTGCGGCCAGTCTCCTTCCAACTGAAGCGGGGACCGGAAGCCAAGTGCCCCAACACCATGACGATACTTCATCACAAGTCCAACGTGGCGTTTTGGAGTGCAGACTGGTGTGACGATCGAGTGCCAGGTACCTGAAGTTCGGTTTCATCGCGCAAGAGCTGGAAGCAGTGTTCCCCAACTTGGTCTGGTGCTCGGTTCTCTCGCATCCTCTTCGTTGCAAGCTGCCGACTCCAAGGTTCGGACGGTTGGGGACAACACGAAAGCGGTTGCCAGCCAGGCGCACAACCGGGGGAGGGGCCGGGGCGGGGGTCAGGCGTGCGAAGCCTTCGTGGCGCCTTTGCGCGGCGGCGCGCATCTCCCTGAAGCATGCAGGACCTCATCGCGGTGCTGACTCTCGCCTTCCAGAATCTCCAGAAGGACCTATTTCCGCAGAAGCCTTCGGGCCTTCGGTCTCTTCAGGCCCTCGTGTCCCGCCTTGCATCGCCAGGAGCACGATGAGTACAAGAAGACGGTGCTTGACCAGCAGAGGGAGTTGGAAAGCCTCAAGCGGCGGCTGGATCGCCTCGAAGCAGTCGGCCCAAGCCCCAGCCGGCTTCCTGTCTTGTTTCTCTAATTCAACAGAGAGTCCTGCGCCGTGCTTGCTGAGGTGCATAAGCTCCAAATGGATGATCCTTGTGTGCTCAGGTACCTCTTCACCTGTTTCCTGCTTTGTGCTCCTTGATCTCTGGCCCATCCGTGTAGATGTCGTGCTACATGGCAGGCAGAGGCACTGAGCCTGCGGCTCTGACGTCCAGTTTCAGAGTCCGGACTGTCAATGCTTTCGGACAAAACATGGGTCGAGTCGTCTGCAACAGCCTGAAAACCTGCGAATCCATACCCATGATCCAGCTCGTCCGTACAGAGAGTGGAATCAGAGACACGGAATCCCATCTGCCGCTCCATCCACAACCTCTGGAAGAGCTGCGGAAGCTCGCTGTCTGCGAGTGGTGCAATGCAAAGAAACATGCTACTTGTAGTGACTGCTGCCCATGTTGCCCCTGCCGCATCTCTGGCTCACAGGGTTCAACGCTTGGCACTAGGCTTTAAGCTACGGAAGCCTCCTGACATGGTTGCTCTATGAGATATCTAGAGTCAGATTTCGGCTTGCCATTTCGAGACTGAGCTCGTAGATGCCGCGGCCATGAAGTCAGCGGTGCTGCGATTCGAGGCTCGCTTTCGGAGTGCATGGAGGGCTGCCCGTCGCATCTTCTGCAGGACAAGCCGGAAGAGCTGGTCCTGATCGAGCTGCAGAGCACCGCTTACATGGAGGCAAAGCCAGTGCGTAAGGCGGCGTCAGGCTTCAGACGCGTGCACCGTGCGCCTGCAAGGACGGTTCGAAGGTCACGGACCAGGAGCTCGGAACCCTGCAATTGAAAGGAGGCGGGTCTGGTCGTTGAAAGTAAGACTCTCTCTCCTGTCCAAAAAACTTTGTAGGTCATTTGGTCTATCTCAGTTCTCGCACAGCTACTTGAATATCGATTGTTTTCACTTCGTAGCTCTGCTGCCACGGCAGGAACTGTGGTGCTCACAAACGGCCCTCGCAGCCTCTATGGATCTCTCCAAGAGCTCAAAAGCCCTCTGGCCCCTTGAAGCACTAGTTTTCTCTCGGGTCCGTGCGATTTAGGTTTGAAGCATGTGCGAGTAGCCGCGTGCATATCTTCTTGATACGTCGTATTGCATTCCTGCAAATTAAAGCCGTTGGATTTGTGTGTTCAGAACATGCTGCAGCAAGACATAGATGACCAGAACGCTAGCCTGCTTGGAATCAGCGGGCATGATACGCTTTTGCCCTTGCCTTGCTCAAACAGACGTGCATTCTCGACACGCGCAAGGTGAAGCTGTTGTCGCAAAGTCAACATGCCTGTCCCTGCCCTTGATTGACGCTTGTGCCAGACGCCCGTCTTGCCCAAACAGCAAGAGCCAGAGCAGAAAACCCAAAGCGTGTCCAAGCCGAGCTTGTCTGGTATGCGGAACCTTCACAGAGTTCCCAGCGCTAGGAAGAAGGCAAGGATCTGCGTGCCTACGGCCTACGGTTCTCATTTTAAAGCTGCTCTCGAGCTTAGGTGCTCCTGGAGCGGACTGGACAGGCGCCCTTTGTGTCTCTGAAAGCCTTCACATGTACGCAGGTGTAGGTGTAGACTTTTCCGCTTCTAGCCCTCGCCCCCAGCTTGCCCTGCCCAAATCAGACAAGTGCAGGATAAGACTGAGTACTCTAATCATGTCAACAAAAAACACGGGTTTTGGCGACGTTGTCCAAGGCAGGGGGTAAGATTAGCCATACAATTGAGTTCACAAGGATCCATGGGGAAATCAAGGTTTTACGGTTTAGCAGTGCCAGTTCTCACTGCTAGCCATGACGACAATATCACTGCATGTAGTACGTCAGATGAAAGGCAACACCAGCCGCCGCAACATTTTGTTGGGGGGGACAACAACCATGTTGAAGATGGTCCTGCAGAAATGAGCGTGTGCGGCCAGTTTTGCAGAAGCAGGAGCCTGTATTCTCTCTCGATCTCTATCTCATTCTTCCTGTTGGCCCTAAAGCTTGCCTTAACGGCACCCGTGGCGCCCGGCTCAGGAAGAGCAACTCGTCGGAGAGGCCCGAGCAGCCCTCCTTCGCGCCCGCGGGGTGATCCGCAGGAAGGCATCCGAGTTGTCAACTTCGCTGAGAGTATGAGCACTAGTCGAAGCAAGTCGAGGACAGGGAAGCCCAGAAAAAGATAAGAATCGCATTCTTCAAGCCTTAACCTGGGAGGATCACAAATAGATTCTGGGTCAAGACCTGACGACAGTCAAGCCTCGATATCACCGACTACAGAGACAGACCCAACAGGGTGTGTCCAAACTAAAGCACTTTTAACATCATGCAGTAACATATCGCATATACAATGACTTTGATTCAGAATTTGGCAGAGAGGTAGATAGGCGCACAAGGCTTGATCTATCTGTCAGATCGTGCTAGATGGGTCTAGAAATCTATGCATGATATTGTGCCGCATGATGAAACAATAAATATGGCAGACTGCGCAAGCAACTACACAGACACACGTCTGCATTCGTAGAGCGCAGTCGTTGCCATCATGATCATCACCAACAGCATCAGTGTCATTATCACCACCGTCATCGTCATCATCGTTGTCGTCATCATCATGATTATCATCATCCTCGTCATCCTCGTCCTCCTCCTCCTCCGCCTCCTCCTCCTCCTCCTCCTCATCTTCATCTTCGGCATCATCACCATCGTCATCATCATCCATCACGTTCACCATCGTCTTCGTGTCACCAGCATCGTCATCCTAATCGCAACACTAGTAGCACCATTCAGGCTGTGAGTAAAGATGTCCACACAGCCATGAACTGCAGACAAAATATCTGAATAGCAGTGCTGAGAGTTCCACTGTATAGGGTTGTTACAAGAATAACCACAACTGTCACAGTGATGGAACTCTTGAAAACAGTCTGAGCCAAAACGCAAAACTATCGCCACCTGTAACTTCAAATTCACGCAACAATGCCGTGTATTCTGCATAGATGCAGTTGCTGATAGCAATGCACGAGTACCACTTTGCAGAACCCTCTGTTGCGGCAAGCCATTGCATACGCCTACTTCTACCAGCAAATGCATCGTAATGCAGCGTTGAATATGCTAACATAAGCCACAAAGAATAGTGCAACAAGGTGTTTGAACTGGTAGCGAAGTGTAGCAGTATAGCAACAACAACTTGTAGTGAGCATGCAAAGGATACGAGTACGTACAGCGGCATGTACCCATCTACAGCCATGCACAACCATGTAGAACCCTCGCAAAACCATCTGTTTTCAGGCATAGTATGTGTGAGCATCTATGCCTATGTTTGTCTCGAAATACATCAAATACCGGCCTTATTCGGATGCTTGGATTTTCGCAAATCGGTTACTACAAGCATCCCTTGACTTGCGGGCTTATTTCGTCCGGTTGACACTTCAAACGTTGGTTACAGCCGGAGTCTCGTGACGCAGGTAGTCTTCAACCAGCGCCCACAGCTCTCCGTCTAAAGGACAGGCAATGCTTCGTATCTCTGCAGGCCAAGTCAATTCGAAGACGCTGAGCCACAGAGTAGTGCCATGTGCTGGCATGATGTTGCACAGGTGTCGTGCCGTCTCAGGTGCAGAAGCATGAGGTCAAGAAACGCTACCATTGAGCATTCGGACATACAGTATGCAAAACATGTCGATGCCCCAATTCACGACCAGGAGAGACCAAGACCGCAGTCCATCTCCTTAGAGACTAGGGGGAGTCTTCCAGTCCTTCAATGCCACGCCGCCCACTTATCGGCTCAAGCCTACATTAGGTAGGCCGAGGATGGTTCCTGCCATCAACTCCTACATGATTGTCTGGTGAGGTCGGTTGGAGTGTTGGAGCGGTCAGGGCTCAAAGAGTCTGCGGCTCGTACCGGTTTCAGCTTCATCCCGCGCCAGGCTTCTGTATCCCTTACACCAAATGCGTTTGGTGATTTTCCTTCCTATCCTCTGCTGCCAACTTAGCAAGCGAGGAGCCTAGCCCCAGGTGGAATCTGGGGTCATGCAGCATTCCGGGGACAGTCTTTGGTGATTCCCCTTTCAACAAGGTCAGCCTTTGACGTCAATGAAAATTCATTGAAGGTCTTGCTACGCAATTGCAGCATAAGCCAGTCGGTGTCGTGGCTTCTTGCTGGGACGAGCTTGAAGACGAATGCAAGCAGCATGCGGGTCAGGCTATTCTGGGCCGTTGACAATGCCACCCGAACGCAGGCTTGGGGACAGAGAAGCAAGGGAGTACCGTTCTGGCTGTGGCACCTCCGATGACAGGAGACCGTCATGCGAAACGTAGCGCGCCTTGGCGGCAACGGTGTTCAGTATTTCAGATATCAGATATGGAGCCTATACATCTAAGGTATGCTCGCCGTATGGGAGGTCGCCAGTGCTGCGATGTGATCCTTGCGCCCCTTGGTAGTCAGAGGTGTTCACCGATACCAGGATGCTCTGTAGACCTTCGCCTCAGGCACTACGAGGGAAGCCCAAACGATTCCTGGCAGTACGATTAGCTTGCATGCTCCTTTTGAGAGCTGAGTTCGACTGAGACTTCAGACCTGGTGCGGACCTTTGTGGGCCCGCCAGCTTGCCCATTCAGGATTGGGACAAAAACTGGTATGCCAGCGAAGTCACGATTGGGCCTCAGTTTTTTGAGAGAGCTGGAGCTGTGAGTCCACGGAGTGTTGCCTGCTAGGTCAAGTCTGCAGAAGCCTGGCGGCCTGACTGGGTCACAGCCTACCCAATTATCCCGAAGGATACTCGCTGTGGCCCCACGCCCCGGCCCATGCCCTGCTACCTGCAGCTCAGGTTACAAGTTCAGATTCCTGCAGGAGGCCTACAGGGAAGATCAGTGGAGCCTTATCCGCCTTTGGGTGCCCAAAGGAAAATACGTGCAACATTAGAAACAAGAGACGCTCTTCAATGTCTGAGGACTCAGAAGTACGAATTCGTTTGGGCACTGGAGCGGCCCTCAGCGACGATGGAACAATCATGTGCAAAGAATCTCGGCAAACTCTGAGGACAGCGATATCGATTTCACGGACGTGAATCTTGTGGAGCTCTTCCAGCTGGCACGCTCCTCCGGATCCCTGCATCTCGGATCGGATGCCTCTGTTTTCCTTGGGTCCCAGGCCTAGATAACGCTTTACTTTCCAGTGCCGGGACACGGATATCCGAGGATCATCGGCCCTACCTTTGCGGGAGACCAGGCAGAGCATCCTGCAAACTGTTAATCGAACTCCTAAATTCGACTTTCAACCCTTTCTGTGGATTCGCCAGAGGCATGGAAGACCTATGCGACGGACCTGATGGTAGACGAGGCTGTCGAGTCGAGGAAGGCAAGGGGGGCAGAAGGACAAGATGTCTATACAAGCATAGCCCAATCCTTTCAGAACACCTCCGCAGGCCTTGCTCAGATCGGACAATCTTGTGGACCGCCAGAAGATCAATGTGTTGGGAGACTGGGATTGCATCGGGTTTTGCATGCTTACAGAGCTGCCAACATCACGTGGGCACTTCCACAGGCAAGCCGGACCCCCGCGGCTTGGATGCAGAAGCGCATCGGGAAAAACCGTGAACCCCGTGTCCGGGTTCCGTGCCCGAGGCTGCATGATGCGGCACACTGATTTCGTTGAGATGACCGCGCCCTTGTGGCTGGGCGTGCTTTTCCCACTAACGCTAAGAGCTTCTTCTGGGGTGTGTTCCGCACCCGACAAGCAATGCACGAATATTTATCTTGATCAGTCTCTTGCCTCCCTCTCCACTTGTTGCGCAAAGCTTGTCTTGACAGTCTGCCATGAGGTAGCCTCATATCGATACATGACACTTGTGCCGACTTGTGCCCGGTGAAGTTGAAGTTGTCAGACCACAGGCTATCCTCCATGGTTCTGTCTTTGATTCTGCGACTTGGCGGCACATGCCGATGCACCGTAGCATTCTGGCGACGTGTCATCTGCTTGACCTGGAATTTCAGACGTGCCCCTGAGGAAAGACTGCGTTGAGCCTTGCTTGCAAAAGATTCCGGTCCCCAAGGAGGCAACGAAGTTCTGCGTTAGCACCGGAGAACTTCCTCAAATCCACTCGTGGCACTCGGGACACTTTCCTGAACTCACCAGTGGAAGTCTGAAAACTTCTCGGCCAGACTGAGGACTGCATCCACGATCGTGCCGAATGGGGCCTCGACAGGCGGTGCAGGGAAATGTAGCAGGCATAGCTTCGTGGGCTTCGTGGATTTCAGGCTTTGGCTTTCTTTTCGAGTGCGCTCGATACTTTGTTGCACTGACTAGCTCTTGCCAGGGTCTGGTGCGAGATGGCTTCAGAGAAGTTTTCCGTATCAGTGGCTCTGTCGCAGCAGGAGGTGGGAAAGTCTGCATTCCTCGCGGGTGCTCTCGACTAATCTCTCCCAGCTTGCGTTTCGCGGGTAGTCTTCCTTTTGTTTTCGTGCTGCATGGTTCACAAGTTGTCGAAGCTCCATTTTCCTTGGGTCTGGTCCTTCTTTCTTTTCATGCGGATCTTTTCTGTCTTGTGCTGTGGTGTTTGTGATTCGAGCGGCCTCACCTGACGGCATGCTAAACTTCACGGTTGTGGCCGTTCGTTGCCGTGCGCCTCTGTTCTTCTCTGACCCTATCAGGCCCCGATGAGCCAAGGCTGTGAGAAGTTGGCAGCCGAGGCTTGCACTCTCCTCGATGCGACGCCGGTGCGTCATCTGGACTGGCAGACTGCAAAGGCCTGGCTTCAGGGTTCGGGTCTCGTCGGGGCCAAGAGCAGTCTGCATCTGCGAGCTTGACCGGCCCGTGCAGCCTGTCAGAGACATTGCCGTGCCGTTTGGCCTAGCTCGGCAAACTGATGCAGGTCACCGCCGACTTCAAGGATGCTGAGCGCAAGGTGAAGGAACGGCGGCCAAGCTGCATCAGCTCAATCGCCGCAACGAGCTGATGTTAATAAGTTTCAACTCCCTTGGGGTTCCGTTGGTCTTAGACGATGGCCAGTCTTTAGGTCTGCTTCACCTTACCTTTGCACTAGCAAGCCCGAGCTTGGATTGCAAGTCCGATGCCGAAAGCTGCAGGATTCTTGGAGACATGTCCGTGCAAAGCAGCTTGTGCACAAGACAGGAACACGCCCAAGCTGTGTCCCTTAGGTATACCAAGTACTGGGCGCAAGTTCGCAACATCGACTGTATGTTGGCGCATAAGCAACGCCGCGTCACGTGCTTTGGATGGATGTACTCCTCGAACGCTTTGTGATGTGTCGGAGTCTGGCTCTTCAATCAGGATCGACACGCACGGCAACATCAAGGAAGACGACTGAGTCGTAGATGTTGGCGGTTTCGCAGACGGTTCAGTTGACCTCCCCTGCATCTACCAGTGCAGAGCGAAGAAAAGTGTTCGCCTCTTGCAGTATGCAGACCATGGCACAGTATCAGCTTAGCAGTCTTGGACCCCTGTGCAGCCGGCGAGGACATCGCTGAAGGGTGGGGATGAGATGTGACACCGGGCTGTGAATCAGACGAGCAGCAGGCCGCAGTGTGTCTCAGATTCCGGGTTCTCGCTCACTGTGGCAGTGAGCAGCCATGGGGTACTGGCTGACGCGACGAGATCCAGTTAAAAACGCTGTGCGATGCAGCCACCAAGCCGTGAAGAAATATGCCCATGGAGTGGTGGGTTGACTGGCGAAGGTGCAGGTGTGCCTTTCCTATTGGAACTTGGCCCACAGCAAGCTGGAAGTCGTTTCCTGCGACGGTAGACGGAGGGATCCTAACAGCATGGCTGCGCGGGAAGTGGACCAACGCTTGCGTGGCATGCAGAAGCCTCAGAGAGAGTTCAGTGCTTCTCGAACTCTCGGAGCGAAACTCATCCAACCGAGGCTCGAGCCTCTTCAACAGCAGGACACTCGCCTGGTTTGGTGCCATCGGCCTGGGATGTGATGAGGCTGTGAACTGCATACACCGATGCAAGGATCCGGACATTTCCCAGATCGTGACGTACTCAAAGTTTGTGGCCCACCACTTAGTTCCGGGTGGTGGGTTCTGCCTGGCGGCTCTATGACGACAACGGTGTCTGAGGTCGCATACTTCCTGCAGCAGGATGGGACCAGCCCTGGCTGGCGAAAGGCCAACATTGAAGGACGGCACTGACGGCACCCTTTGCAGATTCTCCAGAACGTTCGAGCCCATGCCTTTCTGAGGACCAGTGTACCTCGTTCGTCGGAAATCAGCGCCATTGTGCCCTTTTGCACGTCGCGCATCATGTTGCGCGAAGGCTGCACGCGTTGCACCGGGACCGTTCTTCCAGGTATCAGGTGATAGTCAAGAACCAGTTCAGCACCAGTGACCTGATTGACAACCTGCACTTGGCCTCAAAGCGCATCGAAGAGTTCGTGCATGTTCTGCCGGAGACTTAGTCCATCTGCATAAACGAATCCTCTGAGGCATCCGGAGTGGGAGTTGGATTGTTGCCATCTCAGAAACCTTTGAATGAAGTCATTTGCATACGTGTGCTTGTGCGGTACTGAAGCGCGAGGTCAGAAGAACTACATCTTCTACAAGATTGAGGATCCGCAAAGGGCCCAGATAATACGTTCACCAGACGATTTTCAATTTGATTGAGTTCATTGCATCCGTCAGGTCGAAGCAGATTCGAGGCCTTTGGTTCCACAACGATGCGGAGCGCATCAAGATTGAGAACATGCTGGAGCAGACTATGGAGCCTTTGACGCGTGCAGTTCGGTGAGCAGCCTTTTCCGCCTTCGCGTAGGGGGGTTGTGTGTTTTCTCTGCAGATCTTGCACGAGGAAGAGCTTCGGAACAAGGGCATGGATGTCCAACCAACCAAGCAGGCCCCGCAGCCGGTGCATGTCACTTGTGATGCGGTCTGCAAGGGACCATTGTTGAGAACATGATCACATTTGGGCTAAGAATCATGACTCGTATTGGGGCCGAAAGCAATCACAATCGGGTACAAACCCAGATGGAGAGCGCAGGTAGCAGCACAACCACCAAGAGTTGGTGAGTCTGCGGCAAACGGTGATTCACAGTCGGGTGCCATAGAACTGGGAAGTGTATGAAGTGTCTCAGTGTGCCCATTCCGAAACTCGGCACTGTGGCTGAGGTCCGCCGTACGGAGCTCAGGCTTGCCAGACTTTGCAGCCAGTTCATGGCAGCTTATCAAGGACGGGGTGGTGGTCACCAAAGAGACGGTGCGTTCAGTACTTCGTGCAATGGCTGACGATGATGCCTTCCTGGAGACCATTATGCAGAAGCTCAGCTTCAGTCACAAAACGCTGATTTGGACTCTTCGGACACTTGCAGACTAGCAGATTCAGCCGGAGCAGAGCAGCGCAGCCTGTCGCAGTCTGAGGAAGCTGAAGCTAAAGTCGAGTGGGTGAAGGCAGCGACCTCGGTGAAAACGGGCAGAGATGATCTTACATTATGCTATTCAGCTAGGATCATACTTACTACATGATCTTTCGGTTCGTTGCATCTGCATTCAACTACATGAGGTGATATGATGCGGCATGATACTGATGATGTGATAAGATATGGTCTGATATGGTATCTTATCATGATGTGATACGATTTTCATCTTGTGCCCTATTGTGCTGTGCATATGTATATGTTGCTGTACTGTTTCATGCAGCAGCATATTCGTACTGAAGTTTATTGAATTGAAAGTAGAACCCACCCCCTCTCTCCCTCTTCCAACTTTTTTGCCGTTACTGGCAGCGACCTTGTTGCCACCGCTACTGCTATTTCGTTCGCTCCGCTATCGCCACTGCCCTAACTGCTAACCAACTGGTATGGCCGTCATGCTGCAGCTTCAAGCGGCATGATATTATGGTATGTATCATTTGATACTTCTTCAGTCCTGGGGGGTTGAAGCCTTGACTGAGGAGCCCACATTCCCCTTCTGAGCAGCGGGATCTTACCGGGGCTCGGAAGCTAGAAGTTAGCAAACGCTGGGGCGAGGGGTTCGGATCATCAGATTGGTCAATCATATCTGACTAACCTATATACATGCCGTTGGGCAAATGGTGACCTCGTTTTGGTATCATCGCGACGACACGAATTTGTATCGTGTCGCATCTGATGCATCGTCTGACACGGTGTTTTCAAGATGTTACAAAACTGAGCTCGCACAATGGGAAGAGAGCAGCGCTATCGGCTGCAGTCACTCCAATGTTTTCTGGAGGTGGCTTTGTGTTGCCGAAACCAAGCTAAGCCAGTTGCGATTCCCGTGGCAAAGTTCTGAGTTGTTGGATGCCACCCTATTTTATGAGGCAGTGTGTTATCATTCGACAGCCTCGGGCTTTGGGCAAATGAGGACACAGTCTCACAGAGGCGATGCGGTGACGAGATGCATACTTACTGATCAAAAAGCCGCGAGTCGAGACAGTGACAAGGGCCCTGCCGCAGCTTGATCTAGGTCATTTCGTAACCCTGCTCTCCGTTCTCCGCAAGCTTGTGTCAAGGGCAGCAGCCCTGCCTTTGCCAGGAGAGTCCATGGATCCCGAACATCCCAAGCGAGCCAGCTATTGTGTGGCCTTCTGTACCGAGATCCTTCAAAGTACTTATATCCCATACCTTGTCTACAATTGATATGGGCGGCCGGCACAAAGCGGTGCCGTGTAGCCTCCCAGACGCCGTGCCCCCAGCGTCACATGCTGGAGTTGCTCCATCCGTTTTTGGGTTTTTGAGACGTCTGTGTGGCTTACTGTCTCAAGCCTGAGGTGACTGCCCATTCAATCTTTTCGAGGAGGCTGATAGTCACCCACGGACGCTCATGGACTGTGCTGCTCTCCTGGAAAATATCGGCAGGTACATATATGCAGCTGAATCGCTCGCCAGTGCGTGAAGCTCACGACAGACAAGTTTGGTGCCTGCCTTGTCCGGAATGGCTGACCCTAGCTGACATTCCAGCATGACGATTGGCAATTTCAGCCGAAGGAAGTTGATCGTGCTCAGGCAAACGCACCATGGCCGCTGTGGTAGTGCTGGGGCTCATACTTCTGGGCAGGCCCAGAAGCCACACGCTTTCGAGTCGAGGTTTCGGGGCCGCTGAAAGCAACAACCATGTAGACAGTACGCAGGCATGGGTGGCAGCAAGCCTTGCTGGTAGCTATCCTCTGCTCGTGGGACTGGAGAAAATGGGCAGAGAGATGGGTCGCAGTGTTCCGGGAAAAAGTTGCGCCAGCTCCAAGTCTCCCCAGGTTTTACCCAAGGCACAGACGAGGTCGTAGTTACTTCTACTTAGTTTGAACGTTTGGGTTTGGAGGTTAGGGAACTAACGCGACGTTGCTGCGCATCATGTTTTGGCAGGAGCGCTCTGGCGCAGAACTGTCCGACCTTCCCTGCGCAGAAGGAAGCGATAGGCTGGGTGGCGTGTGGATAGTAAGACTATGTAAGACTCGATACTGGTGGATCTGCCGCTCTGAACTGTGAGCGTCAGGTTCAGGCCCAGCAGGTCAGTAGGTGAACCCTGTTTCGGTGCACAGGTGCGGCGATGACTTGCGGGGTTGCATGTCAGCTGATGGATCTCTCCGTGGCCGACCTCTGCAGGCATTTCGGACTCCTGTGTGTGGGTGTATGGAATCACTTCGAGTTTCGTTTCCTTTGCCGGATATCCAAACTTTAAGAGCCTTCTGAGTTTTCCAAAAACACCTCTTTGAGCTCTTTTGGACTCACATTTTGGATCGACATGTCCGTGGAAGGTTCGACACGTCAGCCTGCGGCGATTCAGTTTCGAAGCGGCATCTAACTTCTCCATCGGTTGTTACTTGTGGAGTGGGCATGCGGTGCAGTCGGGCTTAAATGATGCTCACTCAGTTCCAAGTGACTGCACCGTGAAGGCATGTCGGAAAGCTCAGGTACCGGCAGGGACCTCCTGCCAAATTGCATGCCGAGACCCCTTCTTTGGTCAGGCCGGCACAAGCTTCCCGCCTTGCTTCTATTTGTGCTGTTGTTCCGACAGACTTCCCTGGCGTCTTGTCCACCTGGTAACACGAATCCGGAGACTCGAGCGGACAGGGTCTTAGCGACAGCTTGCGTAGCTTCTGCGTGCATTTTGTTGGCAGAAAGCCGACTGAAGGCCTGGACTCCGCCTGACTGCGACATCTTTGCCAGCGCCTGCCCGGAGCCACCTGAGATCCCGGGAGCCTATGTGAAGGAGCAAGACGGGCAGTGGAACTGTGCGCCGGGATTTGCCGGAACAGCAGTCGCGCGCTGTGTGCCAGACGAGAATTGTGAGAACACACTGCAATTCTTCGGTTGTGAAGAGACAACGGCATGCGCACCTCCCACAGAGCTGATCGGCTGTGTGCTGGATGTCACGCAGTGTGCCGATGTGGAACCGGGTGGGGCCTGTCCGGTCAGCTGCCGCTTTCCGTACACAGGCTGGTCCAGTGTGGCTGTGTGTCATCCAGACAACACCAATCCTGATGTTGGCCTCCTGGTCGTGGAGCCAGAATGCACGCTGACTTGCGAAGACCCACCCAACGAGCCGCAGGGTTACATCAAGGTATCTTCTGGGAACGGATGGGCATGTGCACCTGGGTATGGTGGCACAGCAACTTGGGAGTGTGTCATTGACTCCGTGTGTGCTTCAAAGAAGGTTCTGTCTGGATGCTCCTTACTTGCACGCTGCATCTTACCAGAGGATGAAGATGCTTGCATGTACGACTTTACAGAGTGTATTGGTGAAACAGCTGCCCCTGGAAGCTCATGCAAGGTTCACTGCAAGAGGCCTTATGAAGGGAACTCAACCACGGCCAGCTGCCCAGCCGGAAACACAAATCCCATTCGTCAGCTCGACTGGGAGCCTCCTGACTGCAACATCAACTGCGGCCAGGTGGCAGATGTCCCAGTGGGATACCTTTCTCACCCTTACAGGCGTGAGTTCGGTGGCTGGCGTTGTGTTGATGGCTATGCCGGCTTTCCGGTGGTGACCTGTGGCACGGATGTGAATTGTAATCCCCAGTTAAAGTTCGCCGGGTGCAGTGCATTGATCCCTTGCGTTCAACCGAACCTGTCCGCCGGCGAATTATGTGCCTTCCAGCACACGTGCATATCGGTGCGGTCAGGGGGCTCCTGCGATGTATCTTGTCGGCCGCCCTACGTGGGTGGGATTGCATCAGCAGTTTGTCCTGGAAATAATACGCAGATCGGAAGGCAATTGATCTGGGCTGCCCCAGATTGCAACTTGGAGTGTCCTATCCCAGACCCGGTTCCAGACGGCTATGTTGTCACTGGGGCGGATGTGCTTGGAAAGCCCACCTTTGCATGTGACCCTCGTTGGGAGGGCACACCAACAGCCACTTGCCGCATCTCCGACAGTGGCTGCAATGCTGCATACGAGCTCCAGGGCTGCACACCCCAAACTGCCTGTGCCATTCCGCCAGACACTCCTTGCTCTGTGGATTGGTCGGACTGCCAGAATGTTTTCGCCGGCGAGAGCTGCTCGGTGTCCTGTGGTCCTAGCTTTTCCGGGAATATTACGGAGGCCACATGTGCCGAGGGGAACACAGACCCGACGACCCTGCTCGAATGGACATTTCCGGGCTGCCAGCTTTCCTGTCAGGACCCTGTGGCCCCGATCGGCTACTCCAAGACGCTCTTCATGTGTGCAACAAACTACAGTGGAGACCCGGTGTCGAGATGTGCTGCGGATTGGGATAATGCCTGCAGGAGCACGTATTCCTTCTCAGGTTGCAGAGAGCTGGTCCCTTGTGCTCCACCTCGTGTTGGGCGAGGCCGTGGAGCTCGGTCGGAATCCTCTGATGCCCAGCAGATGCTTTGTCAGTACGATTTCTCGGACTGCCAGTCGGTTCTTCCCGGGCACAACTGCACTATCCGCTGTGGCACGGATTATTCCGGCACCTCGACAATTGGATATTGTCCATCTGACAACACAGACCCAAATGCAGAGCTGTTGTACGTGGAGCCGCTCTGCCGCCTCAACCCCTGTGAGATGAATGTACCTGCAGGCTATGTCGAGACGCCGTGTGGCTGGGTCTGTGACGAGGGGTACATTGGGAGTGTGCAGGCGAGTTGTGAACCGGTCGGGAATGAGCCAGGAAGATGTAGATCTCTCTTGCAGATCAGTGGCTGTACGCAAACCGTACAGTGTGCTCCCTTAGTCGTGAACGACACCTGCAGAACAAATGCCTCGGAGTGCACATCATTGCAGCCTGGCCAAGGATGCAATGTGACCTGTTCCGAGCCCTACACAGGTGGTCAGGGAGAAAATGCTACTTGGGCCTACTGCCCACTGAGTACCACGACCCCAAACCAGCAGCCTGCGTGGGGCACAGACATGGAAGAATGGGCGCTAGACTGTGAGATTGAGTGCGAGCTTCCTCGTCCCATTCCCGCAGGCTATTTGTTGGGCACTGACGGGGAGTGGTCCTGCGACCGTGTCAACCAATACAGCGGAGTGGCATCAGCGGAGTGCACCGTCAATGTGTCAACCTGTTTGCCCATACTTATCTTGTCAGGCTGCTTTCCCACAACGCCCTGCGATATGCCAGCTTATGACCGCTGTCAGCACGATGTTTCTGGGTGCCCTGTGGACGGCAAGTTGATCTCTGGAACATCTTGTTCTGTGAGTTGCATGTCTCCATACAGCACTCCCTTGGGAGAGCCTGGCGGCCTCATCGAGTGTCGGGATCCGAACATTGATGCTTTGGGCGCGATTTGGACGCCGCCTCGATGTATCCTGGGCTGTGCTCAGCCTTCGTCACAGGCAGGCTACCGCCAAGTGCTCGGTGAATGGACATGCGCTGATGGATATGATGGTCCAGGGGCCATCTGGTTCGAATGCGTTGTGGAGCCTGACTCCTGTGTCGCATTTCCGCGCCTCTTTGGCTGCCTGCCCTTCGTTGCATGCACGACTCCAGCCTTGACTCCGGTTCAGCAATGCGTCCTGGATCTGGTGAATGGCAACTGCTTGTCGGTTCTTCCAGGCGAAACCTGCACCATCTATTGCAAGTTTCCCTACGTTGGGGACCGCATCTTCGCTGCCTGCCCGGCCACGAATATCGATGCGGTACGGGAGCCAAACTGGGCAGCTCCTATCTGCTACTGTCCCATTCCAGACCCAGTTCCCACAGGCTACGTGTATTTAGGACCCGACGAGTTCGGCTGTGCGGATGGATTCTTCGGAGCCGCAGTCTACAGATGCGATGTTGATACATCGACCTGCCAGCCGACAGTTGTACTGACAGGTTGTTATCCGCTGAGTTCTTGCTCGACACCGCAGGTGGATACCTACAATTTGTGCAAGGTGGACTTCAGCGAATGCAGCGGCCCGATTGCGCCCGGCGATTCATGCAATGTCACTTGCAAGGCAGGTTATGGTGAAAATATGAGCGTAGCCGAATGTCCTGGTGACAACACTGACCCGGACTACACGCCGGCCTTGTTGTTGGAGTGTGGGGAATACACATGTGCGACTCCTGAAGAATGGGCCATGGAAAATCCTTTACCGAAGGGATACGACGTCGGTGTGTGGAGGTGCGCTCGTGGCTACCGTGGTGTCACATCCACCCAGTGCCTTCAGTCCGACGAGTGTGGAGGAACTTTGCAGTTATTCGGTTGCATTCCCCTCGAGTCCTGCTCCGCGCCACGGCTCTCTGCAAGAGATGCCTGCCGCTTCAACTTCACGGATTGCGAGGACACGCCAGCCGGTGGCTTCTGCGAGATCCAGTGCGCTGAGCCGTTCTTTGGTCTTCCGGGCAAGGCCTTCTGCCGGCCGGACACCACCGACCCGAGCAGGGAACTGACCTGGGCGGAGCCGCTGTGTCACCTCCGATGTCCCGATCCCGACCCCATTCCCGCTGGCTTCCAGCGGGTCGGAAGCTGCGGCTGGGAATGCGCCGAGGGCTACGAGGGGAAGCCGATCGCCGATTGTGACGTGGACGAATTCTGCCAACCAAGGCTCAGCCTCAGCGGCTGCTTGCGCGAGGAGCCCTGCATGATTCCCCGAGAGGGTAGCTACGACCAGTGCAAGTTCAACTTCACGGACTGCATGGGGCAAATCCTTATGCCAGGTGCTTCCTGCCAAGTGAAGTGCAGACCCCCATACCTTGGTGCAGATTTCGTGGCGACTTGCCCGGAATTCAACACCGTGCCAGGCCTGACACTGGTGTTCTCCGAGTCCAGCTGCATGTTAAACTGCCCAATGCCAGATCCTGTGCCCATGGGATACAGGGTCTCTCAAGGAAGCGATTGGAGCTGTGATGAGGGCTTTTCCGGCTCTCCACTGGCGAGCTGTGTGTTGAACGAGGAGTGCCAGGAGCCCCGGCTGCAGCTGACGGGATGTTACCAGAACACGCCCTGCCGAGCTCCCCACCTGGAGGCCATTTTTTGTCGGCTATTTGATTATATAGCGGCTAGCAGCGCGGGTTGCGTCTTTCTTGTCCCTGCAAGGTCTGTCGCTTCGAAACCGATTGCAGGGAGGCCCTGCAGCCCGGAGAGGAATGCGAGGTCCGCTGCCTGCCTCCCTTCAGCTTTAACAGCTCCCGGGCACGCTGCCCGGATCTGAACACGGAGGCCAACCGCACACCGGACTGGGAAGAGCCCGACTGTGAGCCGCTCTGTCCGCCCATGGATCCTCCGGCAAACTACACTCTCGAGCAGGGGGTCCTGATGTGTGTAGCAGATGCCGTCGGACAGCCCATGGCAGAATGCCGCGTAAACCAAACAAACTGCCAAGCTTATTGGCACTACGCTGGTTGCCACCTTCTGACGCCTTGTGCGTTGCCAGCAATCGATGCTTGCCGTATGGACATTGGCAACTGCACAGACGTTGGTGCCGGTGAGTGGTGCGAGATGAGGTGCAGGGATGGCTTGGTTGGGGGCGAGTTTATGGGCAGCTGCCCGTCTGGCAACGTCGATGGCACTACGCCACTGGCCTTCGACCGTCCTCCGAGCTGCCACTGCCCGATGGCGGCACCGCAACTTGGATACAGGCCTAACCATTCGCACGGCCATGGCCAGTCGCATAGCAACGTCGACGGCGGCCGCTGGCAATGCGCCGAAGATTGGACAGGAACCGCCGAGGCGACTTGTGTTATTGATGACGGGTGCAATATTCAGGTCACACTCAGTGGTTGCGTGCCAATTCACAGCTGCGCGCCACCACTGCCGATGTACCTGAGCCATCCAGACGACTGCCGCCGTGTACCTGCAGGAAGCACGTGCGCAGCACGATGTGCTCCTTTTGCGTGCGTCTCAGGCGGACCCTTGTCTTTTGTATGCCGGAGCCTCAGGGCCGGGCTGGCTAGAGTCTGCTCACATCTAGTAGAGAGTTTGAGCATGTGTCTGAGCTTTGCAGCGCTTTGGCTTTGCAACTTCTTCCTTTGAGCGACTCGAGGTCCAGCAGAAAACCGTGACCCCACACTTCCAGCTGAGCTCCTTGAAGGGTCCTGCAGCGTCCGATGTGAGATTTGCCGGTCCACGCCGTTTCTCGACTCAGACCCTCGCCCCGGACACATCGCCGGCATGCTCCGCTTTGGGGAAGCGCATGCAAACGGGCAAATGCCAGTGGAGGGTGTCTTTGGATACAGGGTATTCTTTGCAGATGAGTGCGGCATGCAAGTTGGACCCACCTTGGGCTACGTTCCACGAAGCGAACGGCTCTACGCATGCTGTGCTGCAACAGCCTACTCGCTGGAAGTTTCTGACGCAGAGATTCCACAAGCTGCAGCACAACTGCTCATCGCAATTAACACAAGCTTTGGTGAAATGCCTCACGGCACGCCCATCGAGTACAGTGACTTAACGCAAACAGTTGTTGAGACGACGCCCCGGGTCATCACAGCCGATTCTCGAGCTTGTGACGCACAAAGCATGGGTTGTGTTTCGTTCATGAATGTCTTGTGGTCATAAGCCAACAGCCAGGGTTGGCTTGAGAACGCTCATCCGACAGCTAGGGTAGTCCGGGGTAGACTTGTCGCAGCGCTGCGAAGAGTCTTGGTATCAGAGCGACTTCATGGCATATCGCAGTAAAAACCGCATGCACCTGAGGCAGAGCCTTGTTGCACCCCAGTGGAATCTGGCTCATGCTGATCGCCAGCTTGCTGCACTTGAGTCTTTGATATCTGAGCGGGTGTCCGGTGTCGAACGTGCTGTGCAGACTCGAAGATTTGAAAATGCTTGTAGTAGTCATTAGCCCTGAATTCGATGTTAACGATACCTTGACCATTTTCGTGGTGTGCAGCCGGCAGCCGCTGGCTCTGCACACTTCAACGGTTCAGGAAGACCAGGGGCTCTCAAAGAGACCTCTCGGTACGTACATTCGACCAGACATCTACAAAAGTCTCTGCGACGACTTGTCTTGGAGATGGTGCTCATACTTTCTCTGTCTCTAATGCCCATTGCTCTGATTGGTTACCTTCTTATGGCCATCCTCCTTGACCGGCACATTCTTCTCAACGGGCATTAGAACTGTAGCAGTGGAAGCTCCTGCCATGCTAGACCCGCTGTGTGCAGCAGGGATTCCAGCTCGGGCCAGCACAAGCGAACCGGTGTCCGGTTGAGAAACATGACCCGCAGCAGGAAACACGGCAAGAGACAAGCGACAAATCAGAGGAATTCATTCGGGCATGCATTCGGAAGCACGCGACATGGCCGAGATCAGGTTGCAGGACGAGAGAATCGGCTCCAGAGACAATAGACGTTGCCCTTTCCGAAGGATGGCGGCGGGCCGCATGCATCCAGGCCCTCCAGAGCAGAACTGGACGAGGCCAGGGACTGCTTGGGGCACTTTCACAGGGCCCGGTGGTTTCCAACTTTTTGTCATGAGTCATGAGATTGCATCCTTCTGTGCTAACACAGCAGGGTCCTTAAAACTGGCGTCTAAAAAAAGGGCCCTGCGACAGCCGGTGGGCTCCAAGGAGCTCCACCAAGGTTCTGAAAAGCTGATCTGAAGTCCATAAAGCGTCCGGCTTTTTGGACATGTGAGCCAATCGCCGAAGCCGTGGTGCCAATGTAGGTGCCCTGCTTGACAGCCGGACTTCCAACGCCCGACTCCGTGCAGTCGCAGAAGGCATGGATTTCAATTGACTCTTACAACGAAGATTTCAGACTCGGAGGCCGTGTGGCCTTGGGGGTGTCCAGGAGGCTCACATCGCCAGCCTCGAGCGCGAACTTCGCGAGGGCGTAGCTCAGCTGGCAGAGCAGCATCGGCGGAAGACGGCCCCTGGCTCGGAGTGTCGGGATCTATAGGGCGCAAGGCAACGGCCCGTCGGCTTCCGCAGTGGGTTTCCTGGAATATCCTGCCCAGGATGAGCTCCACGCCAAGGCAAACCAGCAAAGGAGTCAGTGGGGGCCCTGAGATCTCGTTTGCCCGCTCGCCTGTGAATCGCAAAGCGCGAGGCTCAGTCTGGCACTGGAGAAGATGGCACCCCGGCTAAAGTCTGTGTGGCTTCCCTCCAACATAAAGCCGACTTGAGGTCAAGGAGCAAGAGGCCCTGCTGGACAAACAGCCGGACTCCCGGACTCTCAGATGCAAAGCACAGCGCACGGTGAAACTCCTGCGCGCCTGCACGCACGCGCCTCTCTGCAGGCACCAGACCCAGAGTCAACAGCTCCAGGAAGCCGCCCAACACCAGCTCACGGAGCTGAACCAACAGGCAAAATGCGCTGCCAAGCTGCTAAGCTGCTCTCTGCGGTGAGCTCTCGCCTTGTCTCTGCACAGGCAGAGCTTCTGGTGCAGGCCTGGAGAGCACAGGCCGCCTTCCGAGAGGCCGTAAAGAAAACAAACCGCTTGGCAGCTACTGTAGGAGGGGCAGATCCCGCCGGCCCAAATCCGTGGCTTGCCACGAGAGCCGGCGCCTCGGTTTCTGGGGAGATTGAGAGAGTACTCGCACGGGCTTGCAGGGTGGTTGCTCGCAGTCGGAAAGAACCAGTCTGTCGTCTCTACACGTCTCCAATGTTTGACTTGGCCTGCCATTTCTAGTGATCGATCACTTCCTGAGGTCTTTGAAGGCACGACGGCCATGCATTGGTCAGGGTTTTCGGGTTTGCAGAGTTCTTGGTTGCACCTGCACGTGTCGGGAGTGCTGGAGCCGCCTGCTTGCCGTGCCAAAGCCTGGAATGTGCCATGTCCAGTGTCGAAGCATCTTTGCAAAGTTCTTTCGGAGTTCCTCCGACTCCGCGTGCTCGGGATGATTTCCGACATATCTCGCATAGAGAGGTGCCCAGTGGCGGAAGCATGCGGGTGGCCTGGCCAGCCTACGCGGCACCCTTGGATGCTACACGTTACTGTTGGCATGTCGAGAATGCGGTTCTTGCCGAATTGATCATGTTCGTGCCCAGAGTCAAATTTGCGACTTCACAGCGAAGTGTGTCTCTATCATCGAGTGCCTCGAGCTGGTGAATCTGCCCCTGAAGGGATTGCGAGTGCCAGAGATTCTGTGGAGAATTACGTTGTATAAACACAAGTATCAACGAGGCTGCAGGCCAGGGCGGCAGCATGGCAGTCCTGGTGGCTTCTTGGATCTGAGCAGACGTGACCCATGGCCTGGTTTCGACAGCGACATGACATACTCATAGGACTTCGGAATACATCGCCTTTATTGTACAAGTCAACAGCCAACAGCAAGGGAAGGCAGCTACAGCGTCAAGGTCACAAGGTTCGGCACTCTAAGAAGCGAGTTCCGGCATTAGAAGCCCATCCAATCTTGCGCAGAGGCCCCACCAAGAGTCCAGTCGAGCCTGGGAGGCCGGTGGAAGCAACGACAGTTTGTGTGATCAGAGAACAAGAGAACACGTGCGCAACAGCCATGGCACTTTTCGTTGCGTGCATCATCACTTCCCCAACCGAGCTTCCCCAGCAGAGCTGAGTTACCCAGGCGACCCGAAAGAACACGACTCATCAAGGAGAGCCCAGCGCTGGTCGCATCACCGATAAGCGTGATCATGTCTGGGTCAGGCCTGGCCAGGGAGCAGTCCATGACGCCGGGAGCCAGAGAGTGAGCTTGTGCCTTCGGACCATCGGCTCCAGGGATGTCGTGCATAGCAGGGAATCAAAAGAAGGATCTCCGCCGCCTCGAAGCACATGCCATCCCTCAGCGAGCTGTCGAGGTCCCGGAGCCCTTCTCACGCGACTGCACGGCTCTCTGTGCATTCGGTGTCCCTGAAGATTTGAGCATCAGCGAATGCAAGGACTTCATGAAGGCAGTGGAAGGAGCAGAGTAGCAGTAGATTTCTTCTCCGAGGCCTGGACTGCTCTGCTCTGAACCCAGTTTCCTTCGAGGTTCGCTCTAGATCTCCCAAACCCTGTCCGTCCAGCCTTGTGGCAGCTGAAGGTCTGGGGGCGTGCTGCAGGCCTGCGGTCTCAGAGACCGGATGCCTGTCTGATGCAGTCTGAGCTGGTACCACGTGTTCGGAGAGGCGGAGCAACATGCGCTGCTTGTGATGGCCGGGGTGCCAAGGATCAGAATCAGGGATGCTCAGGCATGTATCGATGAAAGGGGCTGGTCCCATTGAAGAACTCAGGGATGTAAACCGTCTTGCCGCCGCTGCACCGTGCTATCTTCAAGTGTGTACTCCTGATCCCGCACGCCCAGACACCGCCGGCTGGAAGACCTGCGCCCGGCCGCCAGCATGTGTGGGAGTACAGGAAGCAAGTTTTTTTCAGCAACGAGCAGTGACCTCGGTCACAGTCTGCAAGCTGAGAAGCGCCCAGGCAGTGAGTGGCCACCAGATGCGACAGCTTTCAGACAAAGACATCGGAAGCGTCGCGAAAGCATCGAAAGCTGCACCAGCCAGTCGAACGTGCAGAGTTGGCTTGGAGACTGAGAGTTGTCGGAGTTACACTCATCACACTCTCACTGCCCGCTGCTCTCGGCTCAGAATTTGAAAGTTTTCGGTGCCACCACCTGAGGCTGGACCGATACAGTAACACAAGCGTGTGGTGATTCTTACCCTCAAGCTGAGAGTCAACGCCTTTGCGCGACAGACCCTTGTCGCCTGAACACCTTGAGGTGTTGGGGTTCTGGGGCTCGGAAAATCCGGTCTGGGCCCTTGCAAGAGCCCCCGCGCTTGCAGGACCCTTACTTGTTCTACCCGGAGGGCGGGGGAGGATGGTGGAGAGGGTGAGAATTGGCAGTGCCATGATCCCGTAGGCCTCGCATAATCCTGTGTTTCCACCGGCAATGCCTCAAATGCTTCGTGCCACTGTTTCTTGCAGGGACAATGTCGGGCCTCTCGCAGCCCATGGCTTTCCTGGCGCCAGGCGTGTCCGAGGCCAGGCCGCATCCTCTCTGGCTGACCTTAGCCGTCTCAGAGATCTACAGGGTGTGCATCGATGTGGCATTCAGATTTCGTGCATGGAGCATGGCTGCTGGGTGGTGACGGATGGCCAGGTGTCCGCTCACGACTCAATGGTTATTTAAGCCTCGATGTGATCTTCATGGAATGCTCACTCCAGGTCACGAGGCGGTAATACGAACTTTGTCGTGATTTTTTACCAAGGGCATCGCTCCCTGGCTCCACGACAGGTCCCTAGGTCCCTCGATTCTCAGTCATGGCTTTGAGTATAAGGACGGAGGGATGAAACAAGAGCCCCATCATCAAGCATCAACCAACTTCATGTAGGAGTTTCAGGAAACAAGGATCCGGATAGACCCAAAGTAGTAGGATCCTGATTGCAGAAGAATCAAAACAGGACCTCGGTTTTTTGAATCCCACTTCCTGCTGACGGCGATGTTGAAGTGCGTGGTCGCGACGTGGTGCACGCGGAAAAGCACCGAAAGAACAAAGCCTGGGCAGAAATCCTCAAACAATCGGACCGAAACCCTACCGGGACACCCGAAGGTACCCTGAACCGCAGGTGGCTCCAGCTGCTCCTTCCGTCAGCCGCACCTACGCGCAGTTCTCTGAGAGGCCATTGGGTACAAGGGTTCTTTGGTTTCAGTCTGCTTCGGCTTTGGCTTACAGTCGCTGCCAGGACCTCAATTGAGGCCTCGTAACGATCGGGAGCGGCAATTGTCAAGAGTGGATTCCAAGAACTCCTTGTCTCTGATGTTTCTCTGAGCCTCTTGGCACCGTTGCGGAGAGCTTGGGCGGTGATGGGGAGCTCTGTTGGGCTGGTTTCCGATTTTCGCCCTTCGTTTGTCTGCAGGAGATCTGCGCCAGCTGACTTGGCTTCCAACACGGCGAGGGTTCCCGGAGAGTGGAGCTGAAGGGCGGATTGGGCGTTCAGTCTGCCTTGTGGGCCTTCTTGCAGACTGCGAAACGTCCAAACACCAGCCTCTTGGGCTGTCAGGCCTGGACCGTGTCCACATCTGCTATTGCTGCAGGTGCAGGTGCATGGGATGCTCTCGACAAGTGCAGTGCCTTAATGGGCTATGTTTTCGGTGGCCAGTTGCTGCGCTTCGGCGGCAGTCAACCCGGCGGGCGCAGCGCCAAAGGCCGAACCAGTGGACCAGTCTGTAAGGGATGCCGATTGTATCCTTTCAAGGCTGCCTGCCCCGTTGCGCGTGGCCACGTTGGAGAAGCCGGACGTCGTAGAGCGGGAGGCCTCGGGTCCCCACCCTATCTCGACCCGAACGCCGGGTCGCCGGGTCTAGCAGGACATCCGCAACATCGCGATCATTGCCCATGTCGACCACGGCAAGACCGGAACTCGGGTGTCGGGGGGTTTCCACAGCGAATGCACATGAGAGATGACAAATGCATTGCCCAATGCTAGCAAGGACCACGTTGACCAATGCTCTCATGAAGCAGATGCTTGACTGCACTCTCGAGTCTCGGAGCGTTGAGGGCAAAATCCAGGCGGCAGCTCGCTTGGCATGAGGTGTGGCATGGAAAAGGTCAAGTCCATGGACAGCGATCAGCTGGAGCAGGCGGCCATGCATCAGCTGATCGCATGCTCGGTCTGCAGCCAGCGCAGCGTGTTTCGACAGGAGCGAGGCATCACCATTCTAGCGAAGAATGCCGCGGTGAAGTACAAGGGCATTAAGGCACCTGCAACACCCTGAACGGGCCTGAGCAGGGTAAGCGGGGTCTATTGATCCCAGATCAATATCGTTGACACCCCGGGCCACGCTGACTTCGGTGGTGAAGTTGAACGCATCCTGAACATGGTCTGGGCCCCATCGGGCAGCTGCATTCCGCATGGCCTTCTTGGTAAAATAATTGAGGCAGACGGCTGCCTTCTGCTTGTCGATGCAGCGGCCGCGCTGGCGGCACTTACAGCCGACGGCACTCCCCTGGCACCCTGAAAGATTGCAGTTGTCAGGAAGGCCCCATGCCGCAGACGAAGTTTGTACTGAGGCAGGTCTTCCGCTTGTTTTCGTTTTTGGTTTCAAGATAGGGTGGGGTATGATGGCTCCAAGAAGTTGGCACCAGCAAAATAGCAAGCGAATGCTGATGCCCGAAGCCGCACATACAACCTGGGTTGCCAAGAGCAAGCAACAGCCTCAGTCGCTTGAACGTCACTTTGAACGTCCATGATGAACTCCATTTGTAGTACCAGTAGCGATCTGGAAATACCAACTCGCGGTCTCAAGCTAATTATTCTACAACCGCCGAGCTTTGCCCAAAGGCAGGCTCTGAAGCTGGGCAAGAAGATCATTGTCTGCATCAACAAGGTCCCTTTCGGGCACTAGATCACTAGACGAGGCGTCTTTTTGCCCGAAAACAAGAAAGCCTTTCAGAGCGAGGTGGACAAGCCCGCCTCTCGACCAGACTGGGTCCGGCGCCTTTCAGCTTCTCCGCCATGTCACCGGGCTGATGACTGATCTTTCGGTCACAAGGTCCTCGACACCACCTTCGACCTGTTCGGCTGCTTGGGTGCTGATGATGAGGCTTGTGACTTCCCGGTGGCCGCTGGCTTGGGAGGGCCCGGCTGCCGCTTTTGCGTTTCAGCCTTGTCACCGTCAGTGGTCTCAGGTCTACGCCTCCGGTTTCAGGGGTGTGGCCTCTGTCGCCATGCTCTGAGGTGATTTGCGAAGCGCTTCAGCAAAGGCATGAGCTGCGCCCTTCCAGTTTCTGAGGATGGGCCCGATGATCTCAAGGAGGCCAGGTGGGCTTGATTTGGTCTTGTCTGGTTTCGGAACGAGGTGCACGGGACTGAGAATGCAGTTTTTAATGTTGTTTCCTTGCAGTCCTCCCCATGGTTACAGTACTTTACAACACGAGCCTCTAGCCTCTTTGAGATTTCTCCGCATTCCTGGTGGGCCGGAGAACGGCCCCTTGCTCAGAATGAACTTGAATTGAAGAGAGGACCTGACTCCTCTGCTCGACACGATCCTCGAGGAGAGCTGAGACTCAACTTGTATTCCTCCCCCCCCTTGACACCAGCCACGACGGTCTTGCGCCCACCGCGCCAGCGCTGCAGGAGACTCCAAAGCCCAAGGTTGACAACGATGCTCCTTTGCAGATGCTGGCCGCGACCCCGAAACTCCGATCCGGCTGTTGCCACGCCAGTGGAAACAGGTGTCCAACCTGGACTACGACGACTATGTCGGGTCAGATCCTCAGACGCTGCAGATCATCGGTCCTACTGCATCATCTGCATCCAGCCTCTAGAGGCGCATCTGCATTGGTCGCCTGGTCTCCGGCGAGCTGACCGTGGGCCAGGAGGCGTGGCTGAGCTCGCAGATGCTCGCAGTCAGCGCCTTCAAGTGCTGACCGAAGCTGACAGATTGGCATCATGTACGGCGAAGACGGAGAGCTGCGCAAGGGCAGCGCAGCACCCTCGGCCACAGACTCTTCAGGGCAGGCGGGCTCTGAGAGAGGTCATAGCTCTTGCTCTTCATGCAGCAGCAGTCTTGTTTCATCATACTTTGACTCTAGCATGAGATTCCCTTCGACTGTGCCCTGTCGTTTCACGCCTCCCCAAAGACTTGCAGAGACCCTGTTCATTGCATTATCGCTCGATAGTCGTGAGCCGGACTTGTGCTCTGCTGCAACATGTTCGGTTGTTATCCTTGCCTTTGGCCTAGATGTGGCCCATGAGTCGTATTCTGCAGATACAGTGAAGAGGGTTGCTCCTTCCATTGGTTGTTGCAGTTTTGTCTGGAGAAACTAGTGCTTGGGGTATGCCTCTGATTGTGTGCTAGTCAACGGCTCGATGTCAAATTTGCCTTGCCATGCTCATGGCCTTTTCGTTTCCCACACCATATGGGTAGTGCCAGGAGCGCCGGGGTTGGGGTCGCTTCTCCACCTGTTACCTCTGCGAAAGAAAGACAAAGAGAGAGGGCGTCTCCCAAGAAAGGGGCTCGCCATTCAAGCCTGAAAGAAAGAGCGCGAGAGAGAGAGAGAGAGAGAGTTACGAAACGCTCGATTCTCACTCCCCGATGCCCAATAGGACGTTGGGTGGGCCTGGTGCCCGGGGACGTTGACCCGTCCCCATGCGCGGGAGAGAGAGAGAGAGAGAGGGGGCGCATGATGCGCGCGGTGGGGAGGCAACTCCCCACCACAGCCCTGGGGAAAGAAAGAGAGAGAGAGAGAGAGAGTTAGAGTTTTCCATACTTTCTTCTACCCCTACAAA